TGATCTGAACTTCTGGGAAAATATGACCTGGTACTTCCTTTCAACTCATTAATTAATTTGAGATTTATGCATATACTTGTCATGAATTCATCTAGTATGACTTTAATTCACTCATAAAATCCAATAATCAAAAATTACTAAAAAAAATTTATAGCATGCTAATTATTAAAACATTGCTAACATACTGCTGAATAAATACAATTTAAAAAGCTGACATTAATTTGAATACTTTATGATTTCATTGACATAAAGTCTGTTAAATTGGTTAAATCTGAGAAATGACAGAATAATACTAATAATAATACTAAAATTTTCATACCAAAAATAAAAATTTTCTTGACCATGCAAGAAGCTCTACACAAAATTATAAATAAATATTAATAAGCAAAATTTAATAATTAATAATAATCATACTTAATTTCTTGCTTATTTATTAAGTATTTTCATCAATAAATAGTCAAAATATATGTCAAAGTTAAAAAATTGGATTATTTGAGACTCAAATAAAAATGAATATTAGATAAAACATTTTGCCTTGTCGTTTATTCATCAATTGCTGCAATTTTCTTCACAAATTATATAGCAATTTATCATACGAAAAATAGAAAAAGTTAAATATGCAAATTATATAACAACAAAAAGTACTTTATTGATTATATTTATGCTAAATTTTAATACTTAATTGATTGTTTAGAGTGTTATAAAGTACTGAAGTAATTAGTATACTTTAAAAGTCATTTTTCTCAACTTTCTATCCCTTTAAAAAAGCCTTCAGCAATTTACTCCATTAACTTATTTCTTTTAGCTAATTTTCCTAGCTTTATATTGTTTCACTTTGTGATACTTGCAGAATTGGTCGTTTGTATTACTTTTTAAAACAATTAAAATTTAATTTTTATATTCCGTTTAAAATTTAGCACAAAATTATTGTTTTAAAGAAATAATAAATGCGTTATTTTTAAAAAGTTAAATCATATTAGAATAAAAATTTGCGAGGTAAAAGTAAGCATCAAAGATTTGTATCTACGTTGAAGCTAAGTGGGTCAATTTCTTTATTTTTCACGTAGATTACGTATTTAATTGTTTTAAAAAAAAGTAATACAAACGAGTAAGTGGATGATTTATACTTTTACCTCGTAAATTTCATTAATTAGCGTGTTAGCTACCTAGAATTTTCAACTCTTATCTTTTCGTGAAATTATTGCATTTTTTTCTTTCATAAAAAAATTTTTTTTAAAGTAAGGCAGTTATTAGTAGTGAAAATAAATTAAAGAACAAATATTAGATAAAAGTAAATAAAATTTTATAGAGATTATCTGGTCGTTATTAGTCAATGCATTAAATTAAATATCACTAAAGTATTACTTAACTAATTCAGGTTGCAAAATAAATATTAGATTAAAAAAATATAACTTTTGAAAAAGTTAAAAGATATTTTAAAAAATTAAATGAGATTTAATAAAGAAACTTAAATAATGCAGAGATTTGATTAAATTTAAAAAATATTTGCAAATTTTATCAAATTAATTAAAAATAATAAAATGACAAAAAGTCAGTAAGCATTTACTTTATTTATAGTTAGTTACTACAAACTTTTTCAAATTCATTTTCACGTCACAAAAATTCAGAAAAATCTGCGCTAGTTCTTGGTAAGTGTAAACGTTCCAGACGTTAATCTTAGCACTTGGAAAACGATTTCCTATTTTAGTATTCATTTTTAAATTGAATTTCATGCAACAAAGGAAATAATTTAAATGATAATAAAGTTGAAAATGAATGGAACGATTAGTTCAACAATTTGCATATTTTTAAATTCAAATTCCTAAATTTTAATAACTTCAAATAATTTATTATGATTTATATGCTATATAAAGAAGCTTACTGTGATTATTATTAATCTTTTCAATAAAAAAACGACTTGTAAATTAGTATTACTTTAAAATAATGATTGATTTTGTGGTTAATATATTTCTATATTTATATAAATTTTAATTTTATGCATATTTTTAGTTTTAAAAGTTGTCTGCTAAAATATGCAGTAAAAAATTAACTCAAAAAAAAATCAAACTTGACTTTCAAAAAATACTTTTTACACTAAGTATAAAATGTAGATTAGTAAATTTAACTTAAAAGAAATGTAAGCACTTGAAAAAGTCAGTCAGTCAGTAAAATACTAAGTTAAAAAGGCTAAAGACATAATGGCTAGTTTAAGTTCGCTAAGTTAATCTGAAAAAGAATAGAAGGAAGACGATATCAGTCTAATCAAGACAGACTTGTTGCTTAAATATTATTTAGTACTAGAAGGGAAAGTGAACAACAACCTTAGCTCATTACGTGTTGTTGCATTTTATATTTAGCAAAATTTTCAATAAACAATTACAATTGTCCATTTTTTAAGTAAAATAAAGTTTTTAGTTAATAAAGGAAATGTATAAAACTTAAATAAATATTAAAACAATAATTTATCAAAATAAAACTTTCTTATCGTTTTAAATTAAGAAAATTAAATTGAGCGAATAAATAATTTTGATATTTATTATTTTTATCAATTGTTAAAAATGAAAACAATTACAGCTTGAAATTAAGTCAGAGAAAAAAGCTAAATTCTTTGCAGACAAAATTTGAAAATGAATTACAAAAATGTGATGATTACATCAAAATCATGATTCAAATACAGTATGCTTCTTGTCATGCCTTATGATTAATAAATATTGTAGAATTTGTCTACTCTGAATGCCTTTTGTTATTGAAAAAGGAATTTTTAAAAAAGTAAAAAGTAAGGTACTTACTTAGTTAGTTAGTTACTTAATTACTTACCTACTATTTACTCCGCCTGAACAACTTTATGGAGATGAAGCTAAAGTTATTGCAATTATCAGTTTCAAGGTTAGATTCAGTTTACGTTTTTTACAGTCTCAGAAAAATTTATGGTTTATGATTAAGTTCAGTGACATTTTTATGGTACTGTAAAAATTGCTCTGCAGAAAAATTAAGGATAATAAATTGCTGTTGACAAGTAATAATATTAAGTAGTGATCAAAATTATTCTTTACAGTAATGATTACAACCTTTTACTGCCTTAAATCTGTAATAAAATTAAATCAATTCAAAAGTAACAAAAAATGCAACAAAAACGAAGTTATGAACGACATAATTTAATCAAAATACTTTTATCATTTATTTTTTGCTGACCTTTTTCAAGTTATTTAAAAAAAGTGAGATTAATGTTTGAAAAGTACGAACGTCAGACGGTTTATGATCAGCTGAGAGTGGAATGGCGCGTCCAGTGATGTCACACGCAACTGCTCTAGAATCTCCCACGTTAATGATGGTTAGAAAACGATTACGCTCGATTATCACTGATATGAGCGTTGAGCCTAAAAGTTGACGCTTTTTTTTAAAAAAATAGCTAAAATATCTTTACGTTTATATTAATACTTCTCAAAACTTTAAAATTTTTACTTTGTATTACTTTGGCAAAAGTATTTTTTCGAATTGTTTCACACGTAAAAATCTACTTTATTTTGATTAAAATAATTAAAAAATGGTTTTAAAAAAATGCAATAAAATTCGATAGAATAAAAAAATTAAAAAAAACGTTAATTATTATTTTTATTTGATTGTAATAATGCAGTTATTAATATTAAATCAGCTTTAATTTTTCTAAATGATTGCTTGCTTTATACTATTTTTTAAATATCTTCTAAATTTTCAAACTATCAATAAAAAATTTAAAATAATTTAAATTTATTTTACAATCATACAATCACACGGCATTAAACACAGATTATGCTGGCAAAACGATATTAGAAAAATCAGAATTGATCAGATAATATGATATATATTTCTATTTCAGATATAAGTAATGGCTTGATAATTAGATTTTTAATTACAACAAAGCATTTTATATGCTTAATACTTATATGCATAATTATTCCATAATTAGTTTTCCACTTAACAAAATGCATCGTTTTAAAATGATTTGGAAATTGGGCTATGGTGGATTAATTCACTGATTACATTTTTAATTTTATTTTTTCTTGCATTTTTATCTTCTAAGCTAATACTAAAATGCCAAATATCTGAGATTTATTATGCCAAAAATCAGACTATTGATTACCTTAAACTTATAAAGCTCTAGATTATCTCCGAGACATTTCCAGTTATTCTATTTCAGAGGTCAAGTTGCGCATTATTTTTTTTTTACAGCAAAAAGCGCAATATTTTACTCTTCAAATTTTTAAAAGTCTCGGAAATATCTGACCAATCATAAAAAAACAATGGCCAAAAAACAAAAATGTATAAAAAATCAAAATATAATATGCTAGGAATGAATGAAAAAATGCTACCACAAACCTTTTTATTGTGAATAAAAATTTTGAATCGAACCAAAAAATTAAAAAAGTTTTTAAATAACTACAAATTATTAATAAAAAATAAATTGAAACTTTCAAATTAAAAAGTATTACTCAATGGATGGGATGTGCAATTTCTTACAAAAACTCTTACTTTTTGAATTCAAAAAATACAATTTAAAATTACAGTTAGCCTGATTTCAGTTTTTGATTATTTTATAAAATAAAAGTTATCGATTATTACCAAAATACTACACAAATACAAATACTTGATCAATAGATAAAAAGTAAAGTAGAAGGAATCGCGATGCAGTAAGACTGTATTAAATTCAAAACTGACCTGTAAGTGAAGTAAGCGAAGGATTCAATCTCGAGATTCTATCGTCGATACAATGTATTTCTTTTATTATAGCCTAAATTAAAAATTTTCGAACTTTTTAGATCAAACAAATTACAAATTCATTCAAACCAAAGTTTTGAACAAAAAAAATTTAAGACAAAAATTTTATTATTTAAAAAATACAAAATTGCAAGAAAACCAAATGGGCATTATAATTTTGATTTATTTTGCATTTTTTTAAAAATTCATCATTCATTTAAAAATGAAAAAAATAATACATAAAATATGAATTTGTATGGAAAATGTCGTGTTCAGATTTCTTCAACTCAAATTCTTTGGAAACTTATTTAGCCTTGATGAACCACTCAAAATCTACTAAATCTCATTTTTGCAGTTCCGAAACTTACTTCAAATATTTACACTTCAAGATTTGCATCTTTTATTCTTGCTTTTAATGTATTTTGTGATGAATTTGAAAGAAAAAACTCTTTAAAAATTTAAAAAAATCAAAAAAGTCGATATTTACTCAGTTTTATAGCTTTTCAAATTAAAATTTAAACTTCAAAAGCCATAAAATTTGAATTTAAAATTGAAATTTTTCAAATTTAAAGTCAAATTTGAACATTAAAAAAAATATTAATCCTAAAAAGTGATGCTAAATTTTGCATAAATTAATAAATTTGATTGATTTAATGAAATATTATAAGCATAAAGCGCTTAGTCTAGATTTTCACTTTTAAAATAAGTCAAAGAATCTTATCAAATTCAGTTATTTTCGTTGTCATACTTGAAAAAAATACAAAATCAGCTTTTGTAAAGCAAAATATAAGATCTATCAATTGACTGATCAATCACGATCGATAAATTATACAAAAATTTACTTCTATAACATAATTATTAGAATTTGAAGTAAGCCTCGGTTGATGCTTGGATCCACCACGCAATAAACGTCTTCTAATTGCCCCCGAGAAATGTTCTTGCAAATATTGTGATATAAACTTAAAAAAATGCAATTATTATGCTCAATTTACTGTAATTTAAGCTTAGCAAAAATAAAAATGATAAATTTGGTAAATTGATAAATATGAAATATAACTTTTTAAGCTGCTTTAAAAAAATATGCAATAATAATCGACAGATAAGTTGTCAAAGTTCATCATTTTGAATGGTAGTACAAAAGTCAAAAGGTCAAGTTTAAAGAAAACTTTAGTCAATTGATTACGCTTAAATTGCATACTTTAGTCAATCCGGCAAAATATGAAGTTGACCATAAAAGGCCAATCGAAAATAGAAAATCTGCTAAATTAATTTATGCATTTTCGTTTACTTTCATTCATTTTAAGTTAAAAAAATTTTAACTTAAAAAGTAAACACAGACTAAAGTATGAGTAATGTACTGTATGAATATTACTGTAAACATTTTAAGTTAAAAAAAAATTTTTTTATGAAAAATTAATTAATAATTTTGACAAATTGCTATTCTCAAAATACTTAAAAAATAATTAATATTTATTTTCTTTTTAATTATTGAATACTCAAAATTTTCAATTTTAGACATCCCTTTTAATCTCATACTGTAAATATTAGGCACAGTTTTAATTTGATACTGTAAAATATTAAAAAAAATAAATTTTGTCTAAACCAATTAGATTACCGCGCCTCCGTGTCCATCAAATATACTGAAAATTGCCAAATTATGGTGAGGATCGTTTAAATAATGCATTCGATCTTCCATATAAGGTCGACTACCTCGACTTGCATAAAAAACCCAATTTTTATGCTTTTTATGCCAATTTCCACCGGCTAAAAAGAAATTTTAATATTTAGACTGATCAATCTTAATCAATGTAGATCAAGAATTGAGTCAAACTATGATGATGAAGTTAAAAATTAAAAATTTTTCCAACACATTTTACAAATTTTTCACAACAAAAATATTAAACGTAATCAATACGTATTTCATTATTTTTATAATTAACAAATTAGATTAGATCAAATTTAAAATTGAAGATATCTGGATCCATAAATCAAAAAGTCTTTGATTCTTTTGATTTCAAATAAATTTCTAATACTGTTAAAAACAAACGGTATTTTGGTATATCGGTAAGACCGAATTCCACCAATTTTGGTGGATTATATTTGTTCCGATTGATTAACGCAAAAGATTCCAAGTTTTTGCCTTTTATCAGTGGTTGATAATAATTTGTTAACCATTTTGTATACATCATGAAAATTCCAATTACAACTGAAATTGAAAATAAAAACAGAAATAATTTTGGCATTTTTAAAGTGAGAATTAATTTTACAGTATTCTTCTTTTAAAGCAAAATTCGTTCTACAGTATTTTTCATATTTTTTATTCAGTACCAATTTTATTAAGATGGATATGAGAATAATATTGAATAATAATGTAATATAAAACAGAACTCAAAAACTGCCAAGCTGTTACAATAAATTTAAAAATTTGAAAATTAATAAATTATATAAGATTTATAAAATACCAATATTGCATTAAGTTATTTTAGTT